AATTTTCTATCTGTTTGTAAGAGTTGGAGAAGAAGTATTTAATAAAAAAAAAATTGGGCTTCATGTGAAAACAAAGAGAAACCGTTTAATTTCTCGAGCAAGTATGACTTAATTGTGTTATCAAGTTGTCTTTATCAAACGGAGCACATATTACCTAATTTAGATGCATATCAAGGGAGAGATGGCGATAAAAATGCATACCATGCCTGTAAAGCAGAATGAATTTCCAAAAAGCACTGTTACAAATTAATTAACTCTCTCCTTTGAGACATTCATTTAAACAATGACACGTTTTATAATGGATTTGTATTGGATATTACTCTAGCTGTCACAAGGCAGACGGCAATGGAACGACCATTGTTCTCAATTAGATGTCATTCCTGCATATAATGTGACCCTTATTAAATTACAATCACAAATAAAATCAGTTTTAGGTTCCTTGCTTGTAATCATTAAGGAGTAACTTAGTAAAGATCTGAAGTTATACATTTGCATATTGTTTTATTGCCCGAGCGCAGTATGTGCGTCATCATATTTTGCTTCAGATGAATGTCATTGTTTTTGCTAATAAAGGCCCTGGACTTTCTTACTAGTAGAATAATTTCATTTATTTCCTTCGTTTCAAAAACAAAGGAGTGTTTAAAGGGAAGTGTTTTATAGATTTGACAATAATTATTATAGTTAGAACATAGAACAAACATTTGATATTTGATAAGACGCATGCAAAGTTAGTCATTGTGAAAGAAATAAACATTTTCCAAAGAGAAGATCACGTGTTAGTAATAGAAAGATTTTATTAAAAAAGAATATATAGCATAAAAATATAAGCTTTAATATTTATACTTGCTATTCTTTGTTCTAGAAATATATAAATTACATTACCAAAACGTTCAAGTAATTTACTAACAATGATCTTAAAAGATTATTAACTGAATACATCTACTAATAGTTCACATGATTAGCTTTTCTCTCATATGTGAACCGTATAATAGACATGTGTCGTGGAAAGAATGTTTGTGGGTAGTTTGGAAATGTACAGTATGATTTGGAAACCTCTTGAACTAAACGAATTATATATATTTTAAGCAGTTATCAATGTGCCTTACCTACATACCTTTGAGACATTTAGTAAGGAATGTAATTAAGTAAAGAGTACTTCCACACCAGGTTCTCTTTTCAAAATGGTCGAACATAATATATATATTTGTTTAGGCCATATAATTGTTCGGATGCAACGTTAACCCCAGACATCATTATTAGTTTTAAACACTTTTACGTATATAGAATTATTTTCTTTTACGTGAATAAAACATTTTGCTGATGAGAAAGTGTCCAGTTGATGATTTTGATGAATGTTGCAATGAAATAACACATTGATGATAAATAGAATGTGTGAAAACACGCATATGCAGTGCAGACAGGAGAGGTGGAATGTGTGTTGAATACCAAAATTAAATGTTTATTGTCTTGCGTAATAAACAAGCTTTAAGTTTAATTATAAACCATATCTTGACTTAAACAGTATCAAGGAAATGTAGTCGAAAAACAAAATACATTTGATGTTTCTTTATGACTGTAGATGAAACAAAATATTAGTTTTTCTTCCTTTTTTTTTAGTTTTATTACTTGTGATTTTTTAAAACAAAAACGCATTAAAACGATACACTTTATTTCCACTAGGATAATAAGTCTATCTTTAGACACATGTTAGACAAGCGTTATGCTGACTATTTTATTATATTGATGATTCTGACTTAAATATCTATATGTAAGATACAAGTTAATTATAATTTAAATTTAATTGTCACTGTTATTTCGATGTCCAAATGTAACAATGTCGTTGTTAAGCAGACATAATGCCTTATATAAAATCAATCAATTTTCTTTGGTTTCGAGGTGTAACATATAGCAGAACAATTTTCAAAACAAGATGACTGTTTTATGTGTATACCATGCCTTGACTACAATATATCGTATTTTTTTAGGAATTGTATTCACATGTAATGGAGAAACGCATAAAGGGTAAAGTGTTTAATGTTTTATATTCAGGTATTTAGAAACTTTCAAATATTCACAGAAAAAGTTATTTGAAATAGATTAGTGCATGTGTACAATAGCTTTTTATTTCAAAATATCCTGAATAATGGAGAAGAAACAAAGGTTTATTCGCATAATATGTTGCTTCTCCATAGGATAATACATAATTTCCACTCACGAATATTTACATAAAAAATGAAAAAAAACCCAGCTAATCTTTGTTAATATTATATATACACATTATGCCTTCCATAGACAAACGTGCCTTTCATATTATTAAGATTAAAGCATTAATTGAGAAAAGTGAAACAAAAGGTGTCTTTTAACTTGTTTTACTAGCTTATATGTTATTCTGAAAATTGGAGATGCATTGACATGAAAACAAAATTTATCACTAAAATTGGCCTAGTATTAATTATGTTTGTTCATTTGACCTTATAGAACAGTGCAGCTTAACATGGGGCTTAGCAAAAGAAAAAAACAAGTCTTCTTCACATCTGATGAAAGGTTTGTACATTCATTACACTAAAGCGAATAATGATAGCAAAAGACTTTTTACATACAGCTTTCTTTGTCTTACTATAAATGAAACACCACCATATTATAGTGTAAAAACAGGCATTAGTAAGCTTGGCAGCATCGTCATGGAACAATTAATTTCGAAGAATCTCTTTTAAGATATTTAAACATATTTAAGCCCAATCATTATGGCTGTGTCTACAATAAATGTTGTAGGTTTATTTTTAAGAATAAATATCTGTTGTTTTAGAATGGCACACATGAGTTAAACGTTGGATGCTTGTTACCTGAAGAAATGAGTGTTAAATGCGAAATTAGTTGTCATAAAAGTAGCAAAATGTAAAATGAACAATGTTGTATTTTGAATTCCATACATAAATCACTGTAAAATTGTCAAAAGCAACAGAAGCAAAAAAGAGTTCAGGTAAATGTTTTTTTTTTCTCTCAGATATTGTTAACAACTATAACACGACGCGCACACAAAAACCACCAAAGCTTTTGAGAAATAAAAATAAAACAAGTTTATTTCATACTCAGTTCATAAATAACATGACAATATGAGCTATAACATATTTACAAAATAAACTATAGAGGCATATATGACATGCATAGACATATCTCGTATTTTCATACGAGGGAGAGACATTTTGTATTCCATATGTTTAACTTAAATACCAATAATGTTACAAATATATATGCTTTGTCAAAGAGATCAGTCATATACTAAAATAACATGATCTTAAACTTCCGTTACTTAAATATTAGTTGAAAAAATGTTTAATATGCGACAGATCTTAATAGCAAAGCACACATCTTTGTAATAATTCTAAGACGTACACCAGATTGCAACTTTATCTAATATCAAATTTAATAATTATTTCCTTAACAAACAAACAAAAATGCGTGTACTTATCATAATGTTTTGTATCTATATTCATAACAGATTTGAATAACATAACATTAGGTTTTCTTATATATTGGTGATCTAAATGCCTTTTTTCTAAGTGCAGAAAATTCTTTACATTCTAATAGATAATGAAATTCATCACCTATGCTACCAAGACAGTTACAAAGTGTGCACTTTCGCTGGTGAAGTTCTGTCCTATTCCAGCTTCCTGTTTCTACTGGAAGTCTATTATTACGAGTTCGAAATTTAAAAACATATCTAAGCAGGTTATGAGGTGTATTTACTAAGTATGGTTCGAATTTGAACGTTTCCTTGAATAATCGGTAGTTTTTACATTTACTAGAATTACTAACAATAGAATACCACTCATTCAAATATAAATCAGACAATTTCTGTTTAACACAAGCAACTAACCATTTATGATTTGGAAATTCATGGGTATCCCATATGTTCAATAAACCACAATTTATAAGTATTTGTCGTATATGTAAGATCCATTTAAATGATTGTCTGTTGACATTGACACTGTTACTAAAATTGTAAAGCATTACATTATTCAAAGAACATGTCAGTTTAAAATAAAACAAATAAAATAATTAGGCATGAAATGGGTCGTTAAATTAAAACATTCAGTATGGCGCCGACGGCTGATTTTAAAATATTTCTCTGTTAATTGAATATATTCATTAAATTACTGTTTATTGTTTTTTTTGTAATGAAATTCATTGCCTTTATTAGGTCTTTCTAGAAGATATATTGATATTGGTAAACACTTAGAACTTTTTTGTGAGTTTGTATGAACAATTATAACATATATAATAGTTTTAAAGATGTTATCATGAAGCTTTTGAAGATCAAGGCTTTTGTTATTTCAGTAAAAGAGCCTATGCGAAAGTCTGAAAAATAATAGTTAATTGACATTAAGCCCATCTAAGTGTATATGGTCATTGAACAGGTACAGTTAAAATAACTTAACCATTTTGCCATGAATGTGTTCATATTTTTATTTTATTATGAAATACTAATAAATAATTCACATGACAAATGAAAATGTTTTTATATATCGTTCAGAATTTATCGGTAACTTTCAATTTCTAAAAAAGAGTGGGACAATCTTTTTATTATTTATTCTTTTTATATTGTTTTTATCAGTCAATAAACATTTAAAAGTCTATCTGTATAATACTTTACAAATTCAGCTCAACTGGACAATAAAAAACAACATATTTTTATGTCAATTTAATATTTTATAAAGAAAGTAGTAAAATTTGAAAAATCAAAATAATGTTAAAAGATAATAAATGCAATTTTTATATTTTTTTTCTAGTGGGAAAATGAAATAAAAAGATTAATACTTATTTGTACGTGTAAGCTATACTATAATTATATCATAAATATATTGTAAATTAAAATAAATGTCTTTCAAAACTTTTATTCCTTACCGTTTATAAAATGACGTTTTAATGTTTTTACTTTTAGAAATGTTTATCTTTTAAAAATTCTAATTACAAAGTCAGTATAAGATTATAACACTTACCTTGAGTTGCCGCAATTTAATCCGATTATTGTCAAAGCGGCGGACGCTGTCTTCCTTTAATCTGTAGAATCAAAAAAGAAGATAGTACCAATTAATATAGAATAAGTCAAAACAGCGAAACACCGACAACGTTAGAGTAGAGCATATGATCAATTAATGGATAAAAATCTGTAAGCAGACGTAAAATATTTGAAACCGATATTTATTTATCTCTGTAGGAGACTTTTCGGCATATTCTGATCATTTACTTACGAGATTTTCTATTACAAAAGATTGAATTATAACTATTCTTTCCTTTAATATACGCATTTATTAATGAATTTCTCAGCGCATGCGCATTATCGTGAGAGAAATACCCCCAGTAAAGTTAAAAAATGTCTCGTGTTTCCTTGTACCACGCAGCAATTAATTTCTCAGTTTCTGCGAGACGGACATTATTTGCATACCGCTATATTTCAATATTTCTGAATTTATACAGATATGATTGTTCTTTATGGGACAGATTGATTGACAAAACAAATATAAACACAATATTTGTAGGAAGGATGGTTCCGTTACTACTGAGCGACTGTCGCGTGAGGAAAACACATCGTGAAGAAAATATGATATTTCGGAAGTCCGTAGTTCAAAAGTATAGAAAAACAGAGAATTAGAAAGCTCACAAAATAGACAATTCGTGATAAAAAGTGAGATATATAACCCTTTTTAATATGTATACAAACTTTTATAATAATTGTTCAACTAAAAGTAGGATCCTGGTGAGAAAAGAACAATATATACTGTGATCTCTACAGTTGATTGCTGTTTGAACCTTTTGTTGTACAAAACAAATGTTATTTATGTTCTTCTGTCTTGATATCAGTTATCTTTAGGCCATAGCATAACAAAACATGAATTGGTGTATGCTATTTTATTATAAGTAATACTATGTAAAATACTATGTTTAAAGATATATCTGGCATTTGGCAATGATGCGTTTATATACTTGTATGTGTGCTAATATAGAGTAAATCAAGCGTGATATAAACAGAAAAATACCCGAATCAAAGGTACAATATATGAATAACTTTAATCAAAGCTAAAACTTCGGATAACATTGTTGCGGAAGTTGTAAAAAGGCGTGTTTAATTTGTCAACATATTGTAAACATTTCAATGGCGATGATAATAATGTCCAATTTGAATGGAATATGATGGTAACAGCGTATACACAGACATACAAGGATATCAAGAAGCAGACTTGTAATAAGGTTTGAGAACACAACATTGAATTAGTCTTTAAGTCAATGCACGTTTTAGTGCAATAATATTTGCAGAACCACGAATATGCATTTAAAGTTCTAGCACGAAGGGAGGAATATAATTACAGGTGTTATTGTTGTACAAACGTATACATCAAATCAATTATTTCTTATTTTGTACAATATCATGCTATTCATGCGCGATGTCATATTTGACACTAGTGTTTTGATTAGAAGATATCCGGAGTAGTCAATGCAGAAAAGATCACCTAGTCATGCATATTAAAAATACAACAACAAAAAACGTGCAACAATGATTGCATCTTTATTTCCGTAAAAACAGGTTTTCTTCTTTTATTTTTTATATAAACCTACATGCACAGTTTTTATGTAAGAATTAGACCTCATCAACATTGTTCTAATCGTCGTTTTAATAACAAGGACAAAACATGGGCCTTCTTTTTTGACATATTAGTCAATGTCATGAACAGGAAGAGGCTGTATTCATATATTTGCATAGTTGTGTACAATTAATATATCGCTAGAATCACAATCATTGGTTTGTAAAAACGATGAAAGAAGTATAATGAGAATGTTGTTGCATTATTTTTCGGATTCTTTCATCCAAATTTAAAAAAAGGTATAAACATAAATTAACGTAAACAGCAACTTGAAGCAATAGAAATCATATCATATGTTTATATAGAAGAGCAAAAACATTATCTGAAAAACATTAAAACAACTACATGTATTGTCAAACGGGGATCAACGTTTCAAATTGTCGCAGTATCTATCTTGTCTTGTAATTACCTGCTTGGCGATATTATTTGATTTAAGAAATTCAAGATGACCTGAGAAAAGCAATTTAGGAAATATTAAACAAAAATATGTATTGCTTGGTAATGATGGAGTATAGACCCTTTCATTTAAGACCGTATTCAAGTTGTCGCCCTTGGATGACGTCATTGGGGGATACGGTGGACAATGCCGATACGATTAAGTATAATAATAGAGGGATATAAAGATCTTAATCCTTTCTCTTTTAAGATTTGCAGATTGAAATTGGCAAAATTTTGTGTAATTTGATAAGATAAATAAAAAGATGGTGAAATGAATTAATATGTTTACTATATAATATGGTTAACGATTTGTTTTAATAGTAGACCATATTCCTGGGTAAATGATCATGATTATCATTTTCGTTAGATTCTTAATAATGAAAATTTTACCAGGCAAATAAATCGCACTAACTTGCGATAATGTATCTATGTCTCTGCTAATATACAATACCCAAAAGATATTTTGAGTTTCAAAAATGTAAGGATTCTGTAGTTTCGAAAAACGGCTGCGTAATAATTAATTGAAAGATACTAGTTTATTAAAAATCATTTTGATTTAAGCATTACTAAGACAAAGAAAAGAAAACAATATAAATCTATGTAATTTCAAAAAAAAATGTAAAGGCATAAAAAGTAAAAATTGTTTTGAATGTACATGACTGTATACTATTTGTGTCGGCAAAAAATGCACTCTCAAAAAATCGTACATCACACCAATATATTTAAGCTGGTAAAGCACAGATATATAAACATATATTTAACTCCATGGGTAAAGTAATATTTTCAACTTGATACTTTTTAATTCATACTCTGCTTATCAAATATTTAAAAAATCACAAAAAAACAAACAACAAAAACAAGTTGTGAAACACGTTCACAGAAATTCGTTATTAACTGAATTATAATTTTACGTATTTTTGACTGTGCCAGTTGGAAGGACTCTGGATCGAGTATCAAATCAGTAAGGCATGACCAATAAAGTCCCTAGGATGATCCATAACAAAATTCGGACCATAAATATTTTGACAACTAACAAAAGTGACGTAATCTGATGTAATGTTATAACTCTAAAAATGCACCCTGGTGATTTATGATATCACAGCCAAGTGCCGCTTGTATATATACTGTTAATTAATATGTTACGGCCCAGTGGCGCTTATATATACACATCTATTTATCTATGAAATCATTAAGTTACTGGGAAAAGGTCTTTAAAGAATAGATTTTTAATATCAAAATTATCTTATCGTCTTTTGCAAATCTAAAATTATAAAAGTCAATGCCATATGGTTTTCGTTCTTTCCGGAATATTTATAAAATTATATCCTTCACTGGTTTTTTGAAATATTTTTTATTCGGCATAATGAAAAAGAATCAGTAAGTATTGACATAATGCATTCTGTTATTGTTCTATTAAAGTTTGAAAAACAATTACTAAAAGACATTGGCAATATTATTTCAGGTTTGTCACAAATACGCCGAAATTTTCTAAATGACAAAGTAACACAGAAAACTAGAAAATGGCCTTTCAAATTTATAATAGGCAATTTCAGTGTGTATGGGTGTTTATTAAATATTAAAATTTGATTCAGTTACTAGCTTTTTTTTTTTAGAAAATCTAGATCTAATAAATATATTCACTTTGAAATTTCGCTGTTTCACTCCGTAGCGACACGGATTTATAAATCCGTGGTAGCGAGAATTAATCTCAATCTTTGCTTTTGTATTTTTTTTCTATTGTCTTGATATTGAATTTATGTATGCATGCGTAAATTTTTAAATGTTATAATCATAATTGAACAATCAGTAATTACGCATTTAACTTTTCAATAAGCTAACTTTCTATGCGGCATGCATAGTTTTATCCCCAATTTACGTCACATCCGGTAAGGGAAGTAACTCTTCACTGACTGTTATCGCTTAAATGAAAGGGTCTATAAGCTATATGCTACATATCTGCTGATTTTGTTTGATAGTTTAGGCATGCTAATTGTCCGACTATGCATTTGTCTATCTACAATCTTATCAGTTTCAATCATTGTTCCGAATAATGATTACTAGTATTATTCCTTTTTTATTTAATCTCTTATTGATACAATACACTTTCTGATGCAAATGAAAATAATTTGCGGGTATAATCTTGTTTAATCGATAATACATAATCAGATTATCATTAATGCAAAGTAATTTTGCAATGTGAAGTGTTTACAAAATCGTTTGCTTCGGAATCTCTTAATTTATACGGTTCTTCAATTCATGTGTATAAAATTGCTAGAATCTAGTAAATTTTGAAGTATTCGATGAGTTAATCAGTAACTGATTTTGAAAACAGAATAATATTTATATAATTGAACATGTTACAGGTGCCCGTAATAATATCTAGGTCGATCGTAAAATGGACTTTAGTCATTTGATTTAACCTTTTAAAGATCTTTTATAACATTTTCGGCATAACGTATAGGTGATGTAGTTATTAGTCTTAATGTTTAACAATGAATAAAAGGTGATTCATTGATTGACTTAGACCAGCAATTTTGTATCAGAAATTCTATCAACTATTTATTATTCTAAAAGAGTTGTATCTGCATACACGTTCATCAACATATTTCTTAATAAGGTTTTAACTTAGCCTCAGTGTAATTCATAATTGGTTTAATGAAATAAACCTCACTGGACCTATCAAAAGGCTAATTCAATTATCTTTTCTTAGGGATATAACATTGACGGTCGATGTTAACTCGTGCTTTCTGTGGTGAGAATATACCTTTTTGTGCAGTAGCTATAATATCAAATATGTAGACAGTACGATGAAACGAAAATAGAAAATGTTACTCGTCTATGTAGTACTCTGTTAGAAAGGTCTAGACTATTATTCCATTTTTATTGCATATCAGACAATAGTTGTTGTTTTTTCTTGTGTTTGCAATGATGCTGGATATTGACGCCCTACATACCCTACCAGTGCAAATGAGCCGCTTGCTTTTAAATGACGTTATTACGCCACCATTATAAAGTTTTTCTTTTTTATACGTTTGCTTAATAATTCAAAAAAATATTTAAGTCTGTACGCCGTTTTGAAAAGTTACCATCGAAATGAATATTCTATTCTGTACCAACAGGCAGTGTACGTAATATGACAATAGACCAGAATAGATGCATTTTAAAGG